GGGGGGGGACACACGTCCTTGTACTGAGTCAGCGCTCTGATTCAGCAGGGGAGGTTTGTTTTTTTTTAAGCTCCAGTCCTTGAATCAATATTTCTTTTCAAGTGTCCATGTGGGAGACGACCTTTAATGAAGTCTGAAGACGACGAGTGGCTGTTGGTCTGAGAGACGTCACATCTGTGCTGCTGAGACACAGGTCCACTGTGACACTGAACTTCACAGCAAAAGTCTCTGCACATACATGTTGCCACAGGAGGCGCCATTGAGTGTGTCATTGCTCTGGGGCCAACAACTCCAACCTTCTGGTTGTAGATAAGTGTGACAGCTAGGGATGTCAGAAATCACTTTAATAATATCGGCCGACCAATATTATTGGTCCGATATTAGCATAATTATGTAATATTGGTAAGAATCGTAAAACGCAATACCCGGGTTTGGCCAAATACGTTGGAATCACTTTAAAAATATATTTCGCACAGATACCGGTTGACATATCGGATGAAATGGAAATTAAGTGTTGGGACAATATCGGAAATCCCTAGTGATAACCTCTACAGCCCAGAACCATTAGATCACAGTCTTGGTTTCTACATCCACTAGTTATGACCCAGACTGTGGGGCGTGGATCAGAGTTTAGGCCGATAATACTGCAGTACTTTTGACAACAAAACCTCAGTGTGTTTTTTGGCAGCTCAACACTTCGTACAGGAAGCTGCAGCTTCTTCACTTCTCACAGGATTTAATCCTGGAGTGAAAGGTTTAGCAACAAATATTGTTGCGAACGTTGTTACTGAGATTTATTCTGTCGTCTCCGTTCTCTTCTCTGTTTCTTTTCTGTTCATGAGTTTTTTTTGTAACATTTTTTGTAAAGTTTAAAAAAGGTATTTGTATTAGCACATTAATCGTAAAAACCTTTTGAAGGTAAGATACTTTGTTACTTCAAACTCTTCTCTGTCATCAGGAAATCCTTCTAAACCTACTTTTATATAAATACTGTAGTACAAGTACTGACAGGAAGAAGGAAAATCCCTGTAAAATCCCCAAATCCTGCTTTTCAAAAGTGAAGCCGTTGATGACAAACCTGAACCTGAGTTCCTTCTTCCACCTCATCCCCAAAACAAACATGGAGTCCCAGAGATTAGAGTTTCAGAGCAGACTGGTCCCACAAACATTAGGTTTGACCCCCCCCCCCCCCCCCCCACTTGAACACCTGAACCTGAAAGTACCACATCCGTTACGTCAGCGTTCCCCAACCGTTTTTACTCCTCGGACCAGTGCCGGTCCACAGCCCAGGGGTTGGGAACCACTGCTGTAGAGGTCTCTATTTACAAAATAAACTCATGTCATTTCCGATCACTGGCTAATTTATGTGAATGATCGCAAAGATGCAAATCAGGCGTGAACGAGACGCCATGCACGCTCACGGTGCACGATGTCAAACGACTCCGATGTTAAGTCGTTAGCTGAGAAGCGGCGTGCAGTGGGAGTGCTAACTGCAGGAATGTCATTCCAGGGAGTGTCCACAGAATCAGATGTCGGTTCCACCAACATAAGATCCAGAGAAACGGAGACGCAGAACCTCCTGTTCCTGAACGGAACATTAACGAGATTCTTTAAGGTGATGACATCACAGTCGACCACACGGTCGTATCTCGGCAGCTTTGATGAAGAAACGTCGTGATAAAAACACAAACTGGTCTCTTTTTGTCCCATCTCTCCTTCAGGTCTAGGATGAGGCCAAACCTCTGGGGTGGGTGTCATCTGATGCCCCTGCTTTACAACATAGTTTTAAGATACTATTTATAGAAGTGTTCAGTTCACACCTACGACCTGACGACAAATATGAAAGAGCCTTCGCTGCCCCTGCGGTGAGGTCAGAGTGGAGGTACTGCAGGGGCACGAAGAAATACACAAAGATTCTCCCCATGGTCCTAAACATGTTTAAATACACACGACAGGAATCCAGTAAGTACCACGAAGGGTGAAGCTGGTACCAGATGAAGATGTTATGTTCAAGTATTTGATGTTTCTTTGAATCGAATGATTGATCCTGGACCAAAGGTTGAGCAACAAGAGTAACAAGAAAAATTTGTCTTTGCAACATTGACAAGCAGACCAATTGAATACTCTTCCACTAGGTGGCAGAAGATGACTTCTAAAACTAAAGAAAAAGAGAGACTCGGATTAGTGTGTGTCTTTCTTCAATTCCTGAGATTATATCTGTGTTGTGTTCAACTAAACAGGATCAGGTTTCATGCCGAGTCCATATATTGAAACAGGAAGATAAAATATTTTCTTACATAAACATCATGACATTTTTTGATGGTGCACCATGGGACTTTTTTAATAGTATATATATAGAATAAGTAAATGATGTGTCGGAGCTCGGCTAAAGTTGGGGTCAACAGCTCCAACATTCAACTTTTCCGTCTTTGTCTCCACCACCTCAGCGTGGGTTCTACACACTCCTGCAGATGTCTGCAGATTGTGTGTGTGTTGGCTGCTGGTCCATTAACCTCTTTATCATCCACAGTGACGTCGTGCCTTTGAGCACTGTCTTAATATAGAATTAATTTACTGATATTAAAAATAAAAAAGTCGATTTTTTTTTAACTCTGTGGATGAGACTCAGTTCAGAGCCAAAACAAACCTATCAGTGCTCTCTAGTGGATGGATGTTGTAATGGACGGACACTTCGACACAGTCGGCATTTTAACAAACAACAAACCAATGTCTCGAAACGAAGCTAAATGTTTTTCTCTGACATTGTTTTTCTGCAGCGTCTTTTTTGACCCAGATAATCGATGTTTTCCTGACAGTTTGGCCACGAAACACCGACTCAGCTGCTCTTCCTTTGAACTGGACCCAGACTGTGACTCACGGCGTCTGTAACTGCAGGACAATCATCTCGTCACTGGCTGCTGAAGCCACGTCTGACTGTACTGTACAGTGGAAACACGGGCTCCACATCAGCGGGACTTCAGGGACCGTCCTGTCCTCTCCTCTGAGGTGGAGACACACTGACCTCTGACCCCCCCAGTTGGACAGAGTTTGCAGCAGTCGGTTGAACAGGTTGGGAACCGACCTCGTGACTGGTCGGCCCAGCAGGTTTGTCAGTGTGTGAGGAGAAGAGACCTGAGCCCTGACCTGGATCACAGTCAAACGTCTGGACACGATCAGGTCGTTTGAACCCACAACAACACATGTGATGCCCTCAGCCAATAAAAGAAGGGGGCGTGGCACAGGATATAGTGTGTGGAATGACAGGAAGTTGTGAGAATATCAACTTGACGACAAATAGAGAGAACTAGTGTCAAGAAAATCAAACCGGAGCCGAGAAACGCCAGGAGCAGGAGTGACGACGGCTGTCAGTCTGACTGATCAAATAATCACGATTATTACAGCACCTGCGATAAATTAGAAAATAAAATCTTGCTTGACAGCCCCAACTGAGAATTTGGGAGTGGGCAGGGGAGAAAAAGTTTAAAAAACACTGCTGTAAGGCACCAGCACTGACCACTAAACCACTGCGTTGCCCTGTGCACATTTTTCCATATCAATAATTCAATCATTTAGAGCAGTCACAAATCAAAACAGGTGAGAAACACTGACCCCTACCTGCTGATATTGATATTTATTATTGATCTATCCTTTCCAGAAGTTGATTCATATCCAATAATCATGATTAGTCATAATTAATTACAATGATGACTAATAATAATTTATCATGATAAATTGTAATTAATCCAAAGCCACCCCTAATTAATCAGATTAAAAATGTAAATCACATGACCAAACCTAGTATTTATATGGTTGAATTTTGGGGAATTCTTGCAGTTACAGCAGTTCACAGACTGCCACATAGGTGGCGCAATTAAAGATATGTGGTTCCTCTGGGAATCAAACCCAGGACTCTCTGCTCTGTTGGAGGGCAGACGTGGTAACCGTTACACCGTAAACATGTACATCTGATCATGTGACCAATAAACTTCCTGGACAAAATACTGCGTTCTTCGTGTACTTTTGACTCATTCGTCCAGATCTCAGCCCGACACCGTGTTCACTTTTAGCTTTTGAAATCATCAAAACATCGGACGTGGACAGTGTGACTGTGAACCCACTGACCCACTGTCTGTCTGTGGGATTACCCATGAACCACCAGACCGCACCAGACTGGATCCAGTCCACCGCAGCCCCAGGACACATGGACACGGTCATACAACGTCAGACTTCAAATCACTGGAACTTTTACCTACATTTTCAATCGATGTTGAGCTGATGTCAAAACAAGTCTGCGCCACATTCATACAAACACACAAAAACTGAGCCACTGACTGACAACCACACTGCAGATATATATTTACTCTACATATATAAATACATATACATTAAAATTAAATGAGAATAATAACGGAGTTCTTACCAGGCCTCCACAGGTGCTCAGTGACACCAGCGAGTCAGTGCGGTTGATGATGGAGCCGGAGTAGAAGCAGAGCTGCTGGTTGGACAAACGTGTGACCTCTGAACTCTGACCCCTGCGTCTCTCCTCCACCACGAAATCCCGGGACAGAAAGGTAGCGTCCCGCGTCAGGTTCAAATAAAGATCCGTGCCAAAAGCGGGCAGTGTCAGAATGATGTTGTCCGGGTCAGGGTGTCTTCCCCCGCCGGCCCCCAAGGAGCGCTGGCCGCGGCGCCGCACGCTGTGGTCCGTGGACAGGTGCGCCTCCTGGCCGGACAGCAGCCTGGGAACCACTTCATCTGTCTCCAGCTCCGACTGGGCTGTGGAGAAGAGGAAGAGGAGGAGGAAGATGAGGAGGAGGAGGAGGAACAGTTTCCATCAAAAAAAAAAAAAAAAGAAAAAGGGGAAAAAATCTCCATTCCTGCTCTGCCTCTGTGAACCGGCTGAACTGTGAGCGCTGCTGCAGCCACGTTCAACCCCTGAGCCCAACCGGTGGTTGGGGGCAGAGAGATGAAGAGAGTGTGGGTCAGAGCCCGGACACATGACTGAAGCTGAGGCTCACCTACACACGCACGCGCATACAAGCGCGCACACACACATACACACTCATACACACTGCACAGTCTATGGTGTGCCCTATCACCAAGCTGAACCTCACCCCGGTTCTTCCTCACCCACACCTCACCCTCTGAGCCCTGACCACAGAGATGACCACTGCGGCTCTGCCTCCTCACCTCCGGTCTGTGGAGCTGAGTGAAGTGAGTTAGAGCCGAGTTCAGGGGACGGACTTACCAGAGAAGGCGACCCACAGACAGAAGCCGAGCAGCAGATGGGTGACACGGAGGTGGTGCATGCTGCAGCGGAGCAGGACGGAGCAGCTGCAGACGAGCGGGTGTGCAATTGTTCCTAAAGTGGGAGAAGTTGGAGTAATTAAAGCTGGACTGACTCTGGAGCGCAGGAGTAGGACACGCCCACCCGATAGGCTCCGCCCTCTGCTGCTGCTCCAGTGGTCTGTGTACAAGCTGGCCGACTAATCCCTGCACGCTCATTGGTCCTTGAAGCTGTCAGTCTGTGTCGGGGGTTGAAACCCTACACGTGGTTTCGAGTGGAAGGAAGAAGGGGAAAAAAAGTGCATACAACTCCATACGTGTGTGTGTGTGATGGTGTGTGTGTGTGTGTGTGTGTGTTCCAAGTTCATTTTGGCGGGTGCCTTTACAACTTCAAAAAGCTCTTTGAGGGTTAGGATTTGGCAGGGCTGTTTGTAGAGACTCCGAGGCCCCGGGTAATATTTGAGGGAGGTGATGAACTACAGTGATGCAGACTATAGTGGTGAACACTGTATGTATATATATATATGTACACACATATAGATATCTATATATATATATATGTATATATACATATACAAATATATGCTGTATGTGTGTGTATGAAGCTAGGTCTGGTTTAACTACTAACCTGTGTTTAGATTACTCCTGACATTTCAGCCAATCACAGCCTGACCTGCGGCAGCAGCTGGTCTCTCTGTCTCTTCACTCTTCACCATGTGTCGTCGTCCTACAGCAGGAAAACTCATCTAATTGTTGAAGACATTTGTCATCATTGAGCAACAAACTGTCGCCTTCTCTGAAAAATGTAAATAACACCCGCCCAGCCCAGCCTAGCCTAGCACCCTCCCCACCCCCGCACACCCATGTCTGTCACAAGTACACAGTTTGAGGAACAGATATCATTTGAAATGACTGTGTCAAAGTCACTTTTAAACAAGGCTTCTGTTCTAATCCTGCCATATTGTTAAACACATAAGAAAAATATTACAAACACTATAAAAACCACAAGAGTGGGGCGCGGGGGGCAAACTCCTGGCCCGGGGCCCACTTTGTGGGATGGGAGGGCAAACTCCTGGCCCGGGGCCCACTTTTGGTCTAACTTTGGGGCTTGAAGTGGAACATATTTTCAAGTATTGAATATAAAATTATGTAAGAACGAGAACACAATGAATACCAACAGTCTCCACTGTAGTAAATGATACAGTATTCATGTTAATGAAAAAGTACTTCTTTCTATATAATAACCATTTATTTATTCAACATTGAAAACTGATGTGGCGTCTGGTGAACTGCAGGTGGCAGCAGAGGCCCTCAGCTCAACGGAGTTTGGGAACCCCGGTGTCCCGCCGACGGTCCCTGCACCACAGTTTGAGAACCCCAGCTTTCAGTGTACTCATCACAGGCTGTGAAAACTGTGACATCACCTTCTATTGAGGTTTGGACCTGAAGCTACACGAAGACAATAGAAAAGCCGTGTGAATTTGGCAGCAGCAGAGTTTGGACCAGTCCAGACAAATCCAACCAGAGTCTGTTGACGGGATTATTCCACAGGTGGAAGCCCGTGTTTAAAGTGACGCTTTGGTTCCTGAGCCACAGAACAAAGAGCCAACACACGAAGTTAACTCCTTAATGCTTCCTGTGAATCTGTTTGATACTTTATCTTACCAGTAGACAGAACCCACCACCAGGACACGGGAGTCCGTCAGCTGCTCACTGACCCACACCGCAGTACAAAGACGGGCTAATCTGCAGAGATGTGGACGGAGCTGCTGGTCGGCTACGTCTGTTTGGTTTGGCGGGTTGGTGCAGGAAAACAGGGGAAGAATGACGAGGAGTATTAGGAGTCTCACGGACCTCAGTGTTTGTCACGGTCTGCACTGAAGAGTGAAACTGGAATATTTATTAATTGTTGAAAAGTAATAAAATAAAACGACTGCACCAGACACAACCACGGCGGGGGGAAAATCCTGGTCTCTGCAAAACAAGAGGCCGCGTTTAGCAGCAGCAGCACAGATAATAAAATAATAATGATTAGCCGCGTTTAGCAGCAGCACAGATAATAAAATAATAATAATAATTTATAATTATTGTGAATCTGAACATTTTAAATTAATCTCCTGCCGCTTACAGCAGTAGTGTGAACCACAGGTGCCTCAATTTTCAGTTACACATGTCGACAGTCTGGTTTGACACAGCGATGATTGCCATCTGGTGGTCAACGGTAGAATTGCAACTAAGGAAAATGCGAATTTTACAGCAATTTTCTATAGGAAGGTTCACTTGCGTAGTCATTAAAAATTCGTGGGGGTGCATTTGGTCATGTTCAACCCTGAAGTACTCTGAAGTATTTTAATACAATATTTGACAACAACAGACGGTAGAGGATGTGGTGAGAATGTTCCTCTTCAGGAGGAGGTTCAAACAGGGACAAAGCAGGAGACAGCGGTGGTCTGTGTGGACATAGGTATGGATATGGGTCACATATTGGCAGTCTGGTCAGACATGGGCTGCTTTTGTCCACAGTGTGACTGTAATCTTATATAATGTCCCCTGACTTAAAAAAATCTAAATAAAATAAAATAAAATAAAAAAATAAGTAAAATCTGAGATTATAAACAATTGGAAATGATAATAATTATTTATTTAGCTACAGAGAAATGCAAATAAAAAAACAAAATAAACAAACTTCGTCCGGCCGACTGTACACCGACTGGTAATCTTATCTAGACAAAGAAGTAGTTTCAAGTACAAGTACTACAGTAAATCCGTACCTTCCAAGCAGCGACCAAGGGATTGTCATGTAGTTAAAGCCTACACCATTCATATTCAAACAGTGGCCCAGGGCCCACATGCGGCCCAGACACGACCTCAGAGTGGTCCAGTCTGAGGCCATTAGAAAAATGTGGAGAGAAACGGGGAGCAAAGCGACAAACTGTTCATGAATGCACCATGGCTTTAAAATGTGGCCCAGATGAATTTAGGATTAAAAAGCCCTGGTCAACAAGTCTCTCCTCAGGGTCGGGAGCCCAGGTTTGATGGCACCTGAATGAATTTATTCCAGTTGCTCTTTTTGTTTCTTATATTAGATAAAAACGTTGTTCTCATTGGATGTTCTTTTCCCCATAGGTTCAACACAGGCTAGTACACAGTCTTTGAGCGACTGAGGTCCTCTGGTGGAGACAAGCAGCCAAAGCAGCCATTTTTCTTCTTCCCGTTGACTGCCAGTCCATTGTGCTGCTTTGAGCCTTCGTCCTCTGTTGTGCTGTTCTCCTCCTCCTCCTCCTCTTCATTCTCGCTCCTCTCGTCTCCCTGCAGCTGGGACGCAGGAAGTAAAAGAAATATAAGTTTACTGGAGAACCAAACTGTTGGCTTTAACTCAGCATGCGTTGCTCTGGTACTTGTTTGCATAATTACAATAGTGAAATTTGCAAGAAGTTGTTGTTTGCACAGTTATTTGCATCTCTGTCTCTATTTGCTGTGTAATTGTACTGCACTGTTTATATCTATGTATATTTATATATATACACACATATATTTACATGCTGCTTGTACTGCATATATTGTATTTTTATCCTGCTACTACCTTTAAATTATCCTATTTTTTTTTACTTTTATTGTAATTGGTTGATATTCTTTAAACTATCTTCGTACAGTATATGTACATAATAAATCTGTGTGTACCTCATTAACTGAAATTGTTAGCCTATATAAACAAATAATAAAAACAAAATCTTCACAGAAACACTGTTTCAACACCTGAATGTCACTTAACCTACGTAGGAACATGACATCTTGGTTTAATAGCAGGTCGCAACTTAACAACCAACAATTTTTAGACGCATACCACCCCCTACTGTACTGGAGTGTGTAGTGTCACGGTATGACCAGTGACTTTTTGAGATAACGCAGCCTACTCCTGACCCCTTAATGCACGATTCATTTTGCAAATTGTCACGCATTTGTAGCGATTCTTAACCGATTTACGATGCATCGTTTCATCCCTTTGTGTATAGATATGTGTACAAAACAAGCAGTGCTGCCATACTTAAAATGTGTGGATTAACTATTGAGACGACTTGTGTTCTTTTCTTATCAGGATTACCGTGCCAAACAGGAACTTCTTCACCATCCGGAGAATTAGGTAAGCCCAAAATATGTGCAAACACAGCAGGATCACCAGCATCACATTGAAGAAGTAGTAGCCGAAGAAGGCAGGGTAGTGGTCCAGGGGGTAAACCCAGGTACAGTGGATGAGCCTGGAACACAAACAACAACACTTACACCCTGGTTTAAACAGTTGTAACCACGTGTTTCGTAGAATTCCTGCATTTCCTTTCATTCTCCTTTTTTAAGCCTTTCGCCAGGCTAATGTGGGTAGGAACGTGACATCTTGGTTTAATAGCAGGTCGCAACTTAACAACCAACAATTTTTAGACGCATACCACCCCCTACTGTACTGGAGTGTGTAGTGTCACGGTATGACCAGTGACTTTTTGAGATAACGCAGCCTACTCCTGACCCCTTAATGCACGATTCATTTTGCAAATTGTCACGCATTTGTAGCGATTCTTAACCGATTTACGATGCATCGTTTCATCCCTTTGTGTATAGATATGTGTACAAAACAAGCAGTGCTGCCATACTTAAAATGTGTGGATTAACTATTGATTTTTATCAAAATTACCGTGCCAAACAGGAACTTCTTCACCATCCGGAGAATTAGGTAAGCCCAAAATATGTGCAAACACAGCAGGATCACCAGCATCACATTGAAGAAGTAGTAGCCGAAGAAGGCAGGGTAGTGGTCCAGGGGGTAAACCCAGGTACAGTGGATGAGCCTGGAACACAAACAACAACACTTACACCCTGGTTTAAACAGTTGTAACCACGTGTTTCGTAGAATTCCTGCATTTCCTTAAAAGAGAATTTTAAGCCTTTCGCCAGGCTAATGTGGCCTTTGTCGAGGAGTTAGAATATAATTCAGACAATAAATCCTTCAGTTGGTTGGGAATAAGCCGAGAGT